CAACCTGTGATATGTGGGCGAGATTTCCGGTCAACTAAATATCTAGCAACATTCATGTGAAATGGCAAATAGCGGTGACCATCAAGTCAATATGACTTTCTTTTGTATTGAAGCCCACCATACTGTGTCCTAACTACTTTCAACAACTGGAATAGTTAACCATTTCACTAAGCTTTACCCCAGTGAAGACTTGTAAAATTCTACAATAGGCTTAAGGCATTGCTTCTATTGTCCCACCAGTAAAGTTTGTAAGTTGCTTTTCCTAGAAGTATTGCATACAACCGCCCTTCACGGGTCACAGACCACAGCTAGATCGACGAGTCTTGATTACTTTTGTCCCAATGTACCTACTAATCCTTAAACGAGTGACATAGATTTCCCATTATTGTTCCGTTCGGCTTAAAGCGGACACTACCGTGACCGTTACTTTGGTAGTGTTCTCGACTACCATCTCCTGTTATCATGCGGAGGTCATTCTTTATATTTCTTGTTTAAAACCTACAGCTTGGTATATTTTTCTTTCAGGTACTGTAGCTAGCATATCTTTGATTGATTAGAGACCATCTTGAAAACTTTGTGTTTTATTAACTACCAAGCGGCAATTATACCAACTGTGTGTTTCCCTGTCCATGACAGTCTTCTGTATTGCTGCAATCTCAAAGACTTCTGGTCGTCTATTTTCACTGTCCTTTTCAACTCACTAACTGTGGCGCGATGATTTATGTCACAGGCGTGAGGGGAAGTTAAGTCCAACATGATGTGTATAAGGAGATACTCCGTACGTCACTCGGGCGCCAGTCCTTCACTGTTCTGGTTTTACGGAACCTCACGCAAGACACCTGCAGTACGTCCTCGTCGTGCACCACGGATAATGTCTCAAACGAGCATTAACAGAGCTGTCAGGGGATCTTGGAGTTTGGCGGCCCCTAAAGGTGATGTGTCCTTGTGGCTCTCATCAGCCCGCCCCCAAACGCTTGGGTGAAAAAGGTTATCAAAACTCATTAGGAACATGAGTATGCTTGCCAAACGTACAGCTAAAAATCACAACCCTTAGTTAAAAGAATGTGAAGAGAACATTGTTCACTGTACATCCTCGGTTAACCCTCAGTGTCGTCGTCACCGCGCTGAGGTACACCACAACAGCAACAGCCCATTGGCTGGCTAAGCCTACTTGTCCGGCAAAACTAGATCCTACGGCACACGAGTGAGCTCAAAATCTGACCTCCACAATTTGTACTGAAGTGACTTTGTCTTACCGCACATTTACGATACTTTTCAACATACACTACTGTCTCTGGTAAAGCTTTCATTAACTTAATAATGTTTGTATCCAACAGACATCTTTTCAAAATTTAGCAATTTATCATCTTTGACATGGAAGGACACTTTTTCTCAGAGCGATCACTAACAAACTGGTGTAAGATCTTTACCTAACTTGTTGAAATTTTGAATGTCTCAACTTCTTGGTCAAATTTGTTAACTGTCTTCTATCTTCTCAACATGTTTACGGAAAGCAATTTGTAAACTTTCCTAGTGTTGGGAAACTTTTACAAACGAACGGACTGAATTTCAAAGAGCAGTATTTCCAGTCACTAGCGAAACTTTCAGATCTTTCCCTTACTGGTTAACATTTTCAATTTTCCAGCATTTTGGTCGATTTTTTAAAATGATTTCTATCTTCTCAATATGAGTTTGGAGAGAAATGTGTGAACTTACACGTAGTTGGGTTACTTTTACAAACAAACTTGCCAAAATTTCTAGAGCAGGATGTCCAGTCATTAGATGTTTCCCTAACTTGTAAAAATTTTCTGGTTGTCAACTTGTTGGTCAACTTTGTTCACTGACGGTTATCTTATAAACATGAGAACAGAGATCAGTGCGTAAACTTTCACCGATTTTCAAAGAGCACTCAAACAAACTAATCTTATAAGCGTCCTTGTTTTTCTATCTGTCCACATGACTCTATCTGGGAGAGCTTTCACTAACTTAATAATTTTATCCAACAGACATATTTAACAACATTTGCACATAAAGCGCATGGCAACTTTGGACCTAACTGAAACTTTATTTCAAAGCGTTCACTAGTGTTAGATTTTTCCCTAACTTGCAAAAAAATTTTAACCTTTGTCAGCTTTGCTCACTGATGTCTATCCTTTTAGCAGTAATAAATAGAGCAACTTGTAAGATTTCAACAGATGAACAATTTTTAAAAACAATTGGACGATTTTCAAATACCACTCTGCCCAACCAATTCTCTAACCGTACCTTTTTTTTTTCGCTTTCCAGTTGAGTGTCTTTAATCTTGTTGGGCAACTTTTACAAACAAACGACGATTTTTAAAAGATAGGTACTAGCAAAAATTGTCAGAGATTTGGCTAACTTGTAAAAATTTCCAGTTCGTCAACTTTTGGGAAATTTTTTTTTTTTGCTGACAGATATCTCTCTCAATCGTGTCTAGTGGTCCATTGACCCTTGACCCTTCTTTGTTACCTATGTCAAAATCTGAAATAAAAGCAAGAGATCGCCAAAAAAGAATATGTATTTTTGACATTAAAGAGCTTTTAAATCGATATGGAATAACAATAGTCATTGCTGCCTATCAAGCAATGGATCGCAAACTGTTCCCTCCTACGTCGCTTAATGGCAGAAGTGGAAATCTGGTAATCTGGTAATCCTAGTTTCAGCTTCATAGCAAACGGGTCACCCCACAGATGCTCCGCAGAAGTGGAAATTGATGAAGATAATGATCATGATGACTATTTGTTTGTCTGACAGTTCAATATCAGTACCATCTGATGTACTTTAGACGCACAAAAGGGGAAAAAATTAAACTCGAGCACAGTAATTCTTTTATTGAAGAAAATGTTCATGCACACAGAAAAAGAAATCTTTGAAATATGAATTCGAAAAAATACAGTACATACTATCTTAGCTGCGATCTCCAGGTTCAGTTCAAGAGGGAAAAAAAGAAAAAAAAAAGAAGTTGACCATACAGAATATAGACAGCTACAATTAAGAAGTACTATAAAGGAGCCGAACAGGATGTCCTGTTCCAGATATCTCTTCCTGTAATAACAGAAATTGTGAGGCAGTCAAGGAGTAGATGCAAGAAGAAAGAAGAATAGTATTCAAGAATGTCTGGTTTGTTGAAGAATCCTCTGTCTGCGTGATTTTATTTCGCATATATAATTTTCGGTTCGAAGGTTCAATAGGCTCTGGGCCACCTTATTGAAACAACAACATTCGGCTCAAACAAATCTCTGAGACTAACCTTTTTCTGACAGGAATTTCTTTTATAAATATTTAATGTCCTGTTGAATTCGTCAAGCTTTTTTTTTTTTTTTACATGTGTATAAATATACTTATTTCCTTTGCCACACACAGGTGGGTTTGATGCAAACGTTTTCAAACTGGTTTATTAGTTAAAAAATTGCAACAAATAAGAGAGGACAGATTAAAGACACTAGAATGTTTCTAATAACCAAAACAAAACAAAAACTTCTTCTTCTTCTTCTTCTTCTTCTTCTTCTTCTTCTTCTTCTTCTTCTTCTTCTTCTTCTTCTTCTTCTTCTTCTTCTTCTTCTTCTTCTTCTTCTTCTTCTTCTTCTTCTTCTTCTCCTCCTCCTCCTCTTCTTTTTTCTTCTTTTTCTTCTCCTCGTCCTTCGTCTTCTTCTTTTCTTCTTCTTCTTTTACTTCTTCTTCTTCTTCTTCTTCTTCTTCTTCTTCTTCTTCTTCTTCTTCTTCTTCTTCTTCTTCTTCTTCTTCTTCTTCTTCTTCTTCTTCTTTATCACCATAATCATCACTCTGGCTTAGAATGTTGAGGAAGATAAATGTTCTGTTTCTTGCTATTTTAGCTGCTTCTCCTCTTTTAGTATGTCCTTAATAGCGAGGCAGTAATAATCGATACTTTAAAATAGTAACTTGATAATGTGTGATCCTCATATACGTACCCAAGTCTAACCTCATTTCTTAATCAGCAATTTCGATACGATAGCATGAAAATAGCAAAGAATCTCCGATTAAACTCTTTCAGTATGGGTTCGTATGACCTCATTGTGTTTGGTTAAAAAAAATGTTCTCACTAACTTCTAAACAAACTTGCAAAGGTTGACCAATTACGAGTATTTCTGTGTTCTTTTGAAGTACATTTGCCTGAGAAGTAAGGAACTGTCTGCAGATAAATAAGCCATCTCTGTAAAACGGATGTGCATGCATAACTCAATTTCTGGGAAAAGGTTAACGAACAACCATAGCATTTCTCCGGCGAACGTGATAAAGAATAAAAACTTTGTTTTCGTGCCACTGCCTTTATGGACAACTTTAAGGGAAGAATGACGTTTAGGAACAAAGTGTTCACTACAGTTTGGCTGGATCTGCACCACTGGGTGGTGAATTAATGCATGACTGGGTGGTGAATTAATGCATGACTGGGTGGTGAATTATTCATGACTGGGTGGTGAATTAATGCATGACTGGATGGTGAATTAATGCATGACTGGGTGGTGAATTAATGCATGACTGGGTGGTGAATTAATGCATGACTGGGTGGTGAATTAATGCATGACTGGGTGGTGAATTAATGCATGACTGGGTGGTGAATTAATGCATCACTGGGTGGTGAATTAATGCATGACTGGGTGTTGAATTAATGCATGACTGGGTGGTGAATTAATGCATGGCAAGGCAGATGTGGTCAAGGCCCTTTGGGAACCAGCAACTGAATCAGTAGAGAAACAAGATTATTATGGCCTGGTGAAAATGATGCACCAGGGTGTCACCAGTGGGTCTGGCCGGCTCACTACACTCAGACGAAAGGCAAGACTGACATATAACCAGATTGTGACCGGTACCATAAGTATTGGAACTCTGTGCTGGCTGCTGAAGATGAGGAGGGAGCATGCATGGCAATGCATTAAACAACTAAAATTAGGATTCTTTTAAAATAATATGTAAGGCAAAATTTGCATGCCCCCAAAAAATGTTCACAGCATTGTTAAATATTAGCATTTTCCACAAGATTTCTTGCAGTTATGATTCATATATGAGGGGTTGCTTTGACACTGCCCGCTTTTGGCCCACACAGAACAATTAGAATGTAGATCTTCGCATTCTTCTTCGCTTACACACATTTTACAAGACTTTAGACAATGGACTTTCATGTACTTGGGATTGGTCTCACACTGGCCATTGCTTGCCCAAAGAGCACAGCTCCCAACCTCGTCGTCACAATCGCCTTCGTCTGGTCCTTGGTTCTTTGCTTGAACGGGTTCTCCAGCGCAGAGTCCGTTGTCTACAGTCTGGCCTTCCAAGCATGGAGAGGAACAGCCTTTCTCGTACGGTTTCTCGCCGTTCCAGTTTCCTTTGGGAGTGTAGAAACAGACCAGGTACCAGGCATTGGGGGCAGCTCCGGACAACTGACCACATCTGGTACTGTAGCATCCAACCTTGTTTGTAGTTCCCCACACCATCTGGATAAAACAGATGAAAACACTGTGTATATATGCGAGGTTTGACTAAGTCATCGCTCTCCCCGAAGGGATGGGCGGAGGGCTTTAGGTTATAATTGTGACTAGGTTATTTGCGCCATAAATATGGCTTTGCACTGCTCACCACTAAGTAGACCTAAAACAGACTCCTGTAGTGTTCATGTGATTAAAGGAGACAGTCCCAAATACTGTGCGAGCTAATGGGCAATCGGTTTGTCAATGTGCTTGACTTGTGCAACCACCGGAGTTCATTACCACAGAGTGGCTTCATACTGGTCTATAAAACACCTTCTATCGCCTCCAGGGTCGAGTCCACCCTTCAGTACTACAAGAATAACTAATGAAGCCCAATGTTTTAAGGGGTGTGGAGTTGGTCATGTATCTTAGTACAGTAGTTTCCATTGAGTAGAACTCTCTTCATCTGAAGGTGACAGGTTCGATGCATAGTAACTTTAACTTTCAATTTGTATAATATCTAATGTGTCTTTCTATGTTTCTATTTCTTTATATGGGTGTCCATCCTGGTTGTTCGTCCATCTGGATTCTGGCTTTGTGCCAGGGCCTGAGTTTCGCGTGTACATCCGTTTAACTAACTTATATGTGTGCAACTGGTTGTTCCTTGTCATGCGTGCATATGTACTCCGACTTGGAATAAAGTCCCAAATTAGTCGACTCCTACGACATGCTTGTTTGGGTCAGCAGTGGGTCTGATCTAGTTTTCCCTACAATGAGGCCCCAGAACCCACATAGAGGTATTTATGTGAACTGAGCATTATAACAAATAGCTGAACTGACCTGTGTGTAATGACAAGCCGCACTGCTACCACAGCTGTTCTGCCCGTAACTGTATCTCTGTTTTTCGTTGAACCAGGCGTCGGCGGCATGTTTGATTAACTCATTCTCGCTCAGTTTGTTGGTATTCCAGGCCAGGTTTTCTCCCCTGCCTTCTTTCAGCTCGTGCTTGAAGACGCATCTCTCCGCCCATTGCCTGGCCTGGTTTTCCAAATCTTGGTCTGAAAATGTCACAGAATCAGCGGATGAAATAAATGCAGGGTCTTCTCGACTCGAAACCGAGTCGGAAGTCGAACTACTCTAAGTCGAACTACTCGTAAGTCGAACTACACGTAAGTCGAACTACTTTAGTCGAATTTACATTCTTGTTTTTTTCTTTTAAATATTTTTTTTCCAAACTGGTTATAAAACGTGTACATGAAGCACACACAAAAAAGTCTGTGTATGTATAATTATTGTAATTAACGCGAAAAATACATCAAATGTACACTTTTGTACGTACTGTAAACACACAACAACAAAAAGCAAGCTGAAATTACTAAGTCCGACAGCTGCTTAGTTGGTTAATCAGTCAGTTAGTTTAGCTGTTAGACAGTTAATAATTTAATTTAATAATGATCTCCGTGTATCTTGAAAACTCAAGGGGCAGTTCTTTAGCTGCTCCAGCTCTTGAAAGGGTTCGTACATTCCTTGTTCCAAATCCTACAAGTTCTTTAACGTTTCAGTTTCATTGTCAGTTTAAATAAGTCTGAAATCGAGGCTTAGATAACTGTATCGTGACGAGATGAAGTCCGTAAGCCCTACGCTTCTCCCCGAACATGAAGGACCAGAGTGTCTCTCTTTGTCTGTTCTCTACCCTTTGACTTTTCCGGCTCAGGAGACCCCGCTGGTAGCTATGCTAGCGCCGGCATAAGAGTCTTACGACGACCCATCTTTGGTCTTTGGACCCATCAAAGATGCAAACAGCGGGAAATGCAACGTGAGAAGCAATAACGAAATTCATAATCTGTTAAAATGACCATTGATTACTGGCATCATGAGAGCTAATAGACTGAAATGGTTGGGGCATGCTGAAAGAATGTCAGATGACAGTGAAGTGAAAACTGTGTACCCAAGGGAGATGATTGGTCGTAGACCACGAGTTAGACCAAGAAGACGATGGGGAGATAATATCAAGACAGACCTGCAAACACTTGTTGTCACCAATTGGAAAGAGAAAACTAACTGGAGAGATGAATGAAGTGGATGATATCTGCAGCAATAAAACTCAAGGGCTGGGAATGCTAAAGAAGAAGAAGAATCCTCCTAGAGATGCAAGGAGGCTCCATGGACACGAGGCATGGCGTTTGCCTCAAGTGCTGGAGGTCCCGGATTTAGGCCCAGGTAAAATCTGGGATTTTTCACGTGGGCTTTAGTAATTTCCCCTGCTCTCTGGGTAGTGAGATCAGACACCCCTGTGTATTGTTGTACACGTAAAAGAAAATCCCCCGAAAAGAGTAGCCTAACGGCGCTGCCCGGGCAAACTTTGGAGTTAAAAATCTACCCGAAATATTTCAGGATCCCCGCCGGTGCTACAGAGTTCGTGCACTGCGCCGAAACTTCGGAGTCACACTTGAGTCAGAAACAGCACATATAGATTACTCCTTATGCCATGATGTTGGTCCGTCGTCTACAACCAGTAAACATCCTAGATTACCTTCTTCTTATTCTGCCTTTCTATCCCCCAATGGAGCATAGGCCATCAACCAACTCACGCCAAGTCGTTCTATCTTTCGCCATTACATGGAGCTCTCCCCATGTCCTCTCTATTTTTCTAACTTCATTCTCTTGCTCTTTTCTCCACGTTTTTTTTTTTTTTTTTTTGGGGGGCGGACCTTCCTTTATTCCTATGCCTCTGTGGGTTCCAATGCAAGGACATTATAGTTATGCTGTTCTCCTGTTTTCTCAGTGTGTGTCCTATCCAACGCCAGCGTATTTTCCTCACCTCTTGGACCCCTTGAGCCTCACTGAACATGAAACTATCCAGTCGAGTATTCAGATCTCGTATTATCTCGTTCTCAGTCAACCTCTCCTTGAAGTTCGCATGTATGCATTTGTGCATGTATGGATGTATCTGTATTCGCGCATTCACACATGGTCACGCAGACGTATGTTATGTGTGTGTCTTTGTGTGTGTATATGATTGTACACATATGTCTTTATATGTGTTTGTGTGTGGTCGTGTTTAGTGCATGCCGGTCCCCTTCGCAGCAGCCCTCACTAGGTGCTAGAGCGCCGCAATAAGCCACTAGTTCTGGTGCAGTTGACATTTCTTGGCTAACATAATTGGCACAAAGAAATCAGACCACAATTATAACCGATATTGCTTGCAGTAGGTTAAAAGTGGTCGATTTATTTGTTTTGTTTTACATAAATGGATCAATTTATGTATTTTTGGACTCATGTATGTCGTAATTAAAATGTAAGGTAAAGGCCCTCTTTTACTCAACTTGCGCGAATGATGCAAGAAGCATATTGGATGAGACTTGATAATTTCCTTCAGAGTCGGAGTGCATATGCCCAAGCGGAAAGAAGTAACCAAATACACACAAATAAGCTAGTAAAACGGATGAACACGCACAACTCACACCCTGGCACAAAGCCGAAGTCCAAATGGACGAACAACCAAGATTTGCGCAGTAGATTACAGCCGGTCAGCAAAGAAGAAGAAGACGAAGAATTGGCACAAGGTTAGTGAGCTGATCAACACCGCGTCCAGGGCCGGATTCAGACTTGGTGAGGCATTAAGCTTGACGACACCCGAATCTCAACATCGAAGAGAACTGGCTCATTAACAGCATCCTGTCTCGAAAGCTGAAGAATCTTGTCCTCGTTGTGTCGCGATGGCCCCGAGATAGCGTTGATGGAAAGCGCAGTTTCCGGAAAATGAGGCAAAGCCTGGCATTCGCTAAGGTAGATATAAGACACTGAAGATACATTGACTATGAAAGCACAAAGGGCTGGAGAATTGGCTGGAGAAAGGGAGACTTTCAGGGATGCCGTGAAGAGACCGACAGTCTGTACAGAACCTGCCGATTGATGATGATGATGACGATAATTATGATGATGTCCTAAGCGATATAAAGCCGTGAGGCCCTGAGGTTGTGGGGTGGGGTATCGGATTAGGGCCAGTTCTAGATCTTCTGGGGTAGTTAAGAGCGGTAACATCGTGTAATATAGAGCAGGCATCATTGTCAGTGAGAGCGTGGAAGACAGTACACAACGTGACACCCCTGTAACAGAGAGACGTGCATGTGAAAGGTCAGCAAGCATGAATGCACAGCCAATCACAGTCTGTATTGGCTGGGAATCGTTATTTTTAGCAAAATCCCTATTTTGTCGATTCTTAGTATGCAGGCGGGGAGTCTGCCTCCCCCTCCCCACTCCTACCAAATGCGGCCCCTGAATTTATTCAGGTTACACCAACATCCGGCACTGATCACGCCTGCTTGATGCATGCAGACCTACCATATTCTAGTTTATTGATGTGACACCCGCCCTCCTGCCTCCTCCGATCGTTGTGAAGCTTGACAATGAAGTCTTGTGTCGCCTGGTTCCATTCAGATGCCGCTTGGGACGTCTCGATCGCTACACAGACCAGTACAACCACCAACATCAGACCACGTGACCACATGTTGAAATTAGATAGCGTCAGCTGTAACAGATTTATTCAGCATTTTTGGTAAAATATAATACTCAAAATTGTAAAAACTTTAAATGGTTGCCCGAAAGGACGTTATGTAAAGAATAGTTGCGAGCTAGCCCGGTAATGTTGGTTAACTAGTCATCTTCTTGTGAGATGTAATTTTTCGTTTTTTTTTTTTTTTTTAACCCCACCCTGGGGCCGCAATATAGCCCGGCCATAAATATGGCCTAATGGCTGAACGCGGTTTCCGAGACCTCCCCACGGCGATCCTCATCCACATGGTGGCACTTTGTGTCATCGGGTGTTTATCGCTTGTGTGATGTCCTAGTAGGGTAAAATAAGCTACTACTACTAGCCCGGTCACTTGGCCAAACAAGTAGGGAACACACTGGGGGACAACAGGACAAAAAAATTAGGAGAATGAACCAGACGGAGGATGATCCACGAGGGAAAACATCAAGAAGATAAGGATAAAAATAACACATTGGGACACACAGAGACAGGAAGGAGCCACCTAGCTGTTAGGATAGGAACATGGAGCCATAGAAGCTGTCACAATCTTAGCCACGCAAGTTTCGCAAATAAACCAGACCACATAAATAACCGGAGACTGTTGGCAGCCTGCCAACAGCAGGTTGAACGTGATGGAATATTTAAATGGAATGTAACAGATTTGAGACACTAAACTTACTTCAAGTCGAAATATTAACCTTTCGTGAAGGATCCGGGGTTCCATTTGGTGAAAGAAAAAGAAAAGTGCCGCCTTGCCAACAACAAACATGAAATAAAAAGCTACTAACTCGGGGTTTTGCTAGAATAAGTTAAGCTAAATAAAAGCGATGAAAACATCATCATCATCATCAGGTGCTTTGCCGACTGGCGTGGGCAATCATGCTTCTCCATAATCTGCGATCTCCTGCAGCATGTATGAGTTCGTGTGCCGACACACCTCCATGCCATGCAACAAGACTGTCAAGAATCTTCTCTCGTTGTCTTCCTCTATCAATCGTTCCACAGATCTTTCCAGTGATCATAACATGCTCTATTTTCCCTCTTCTCATAAAATGGCCGAAAAATGATGACTGTCTCCTTCTGAAATCTGTGATAAGTTGTCTTCGGGCTCCCGCCTCTTTCAAAACCTCTTGGTTGCTCTTTTGGGCTGTCCAAGGTATTCTAAGCATCTATGACAACAATGGTCCTGAAATCTCATGCTCTGATTGCGGAAGATTTTTTTTTTTTTAAATGATAGCTGGTCTTGCTAGTCGCGGGCGCCCTTGCCATTGGCCAGTGGTCGGACAACTCTTTAATCAAAAGAGCCACAAAAAACTAGTTGCAAGACAACACAAAAAACTAGTTGCAAGACAGCACAAAAAACTAGTTGCAAGACAATACAAAAAAAAAATTTAGATCTGAATTTCTTTTCAAGAACCTGTCAAGAACCATGCTTTGTGGAGTCAAACGCGATTTGGGGCTAACTGGGGGAGCCGCACTCAGGTCGCTAAAGAGCCGCATACGGCTCACGAGCCTTAATTTGCCGACCACTGCCATTAATTGATTCCCATGCGTCTGTATATCATAATACGATAGGTTTAGACGACGAATCAACATCATGGCACAAGGGTAGTAACCCATAATTCTCTGTTCTGCTTCTGACTCAAGCCTTAGTGCAGTGCACGAACTCCCTAGCACCGGCGAAGATCCTGAAATACTTTGGGTAGATTTTTAACTCCAAATTTTGTCCGGGCAACGCTGTTAGACTACTCCTTTCGATTTCCAACTGCCAAGGGATTTTTTTACAATATACACGGACGTCCGATCTCACTACCCAGAGATCAGGGTAAATTACTAGAAGTCAGCGTGAAAATATCCCAGCCTTCACCAGGGCTTGAACCCAGGACGTCCAGCAATCGAGGCGGACGTCATTCCTGGAGACCACGCAGCTCCGAACATTATCGGCCGGACAGACGGAAAAGTGCCAACAGCACTCATTTACCCTTTCCTATTAAGAAAACCTCATCCTCGCGGTGCAAGCCAGAATAATGAAGCCTCGAGGTTTCAGGCTAACGGGGCATTGGCTCGCCTGGAAGGAGACAGGCACCAACCAGGTCAGATTTTTTCCTGCCCTGCCATGCGACAGGCCTGGCAAGCCGGCAGTTGGTGCATTTGACTGCTAATACTCAAGAAACATTGAATAATTATTCATATAAGAACAATACACCCAAAGACAGGAAACTGTCGTCTTTACCTGAATACAGCTGTAGGTCATACCTGGTTGGTGTAACCGTTATGGGTATCCTAACTGTGAATTCTCTACTGTTTTAACGAAATCGTGTCGAGAATTGCCCAGACAACTTCAGTCCCTTGGAGGTCTACGTGGCGAAGTGGTCAAGCCATTTGCCTAGAGCTCTTAAGATCGCAGGTTCGTTCTGCGGCTGCGCCATTCAGTTCCGAGTGCAATCTCTACAGAGATCCATTGGGATCGTCACCGCAGCTACGGAGTTCGTGCTCTGTCCGGCGCTCTCGGCAGGCAGCTAGCCCTTTTGCGGAGAGAGACAGCGCCAAATAGTATAAAGCCCGGTGCAATTAAGTCGATCCACTCGACTTTTTAACCTTTAATTTTTACTGTAAGTCCTTGCCAAACAGCAAATATTATAGAGATCAAAAACATTTCATGTACAACTAAGCAACGACTGCTCAGAGCAGTAGCTATTCGTGCGTTTATATATTGTTTTGAAACGTGGACATTAACATCTGAACTCGACAAGACGATACACGCATTGGAAATAAGATCGTTCAGAGAAATTATTGGCTCATTATAGTGTTTCCCAAACTTTTCTTGGTGGCGGCGCCTTTTTTCAATTAAAATTTTCTACGGCGCCCTAACCTTAGTATAAGTATGACTATTCGTGTCTTGGTTAAATTAATTATGAAGCTTTTACAATATTTTGCTGCGCCCCAGTGAATAGGTGTTGGCTCCCCCGGGCGCTGCGGCGCACAGTTTGGGAATCACTGGCTTGTCATATAGAGACCACACCACAAATGAACCATATCACCAGTGACGAGGTTTGCCGTATAGTTAGTTACTCAGCATATCGGCAAGTGTGAACCTCTTTTAACTACAACGAAAAGACGGAAAATGCGGTGGTACTTTCATGTAATAAGATCTAACGACCTCTCAAAAACAATACTGCTGGGTTCAGTAGAGGGGAAAGGAGAAAAGGCAGACCAAGAATGACCTATAGATAGAACAGCGGTTCTGAAACTTTTCGGTACCCTTGTCAGGCAGCACAATTTTTGCTGCACAGTTACCATTAAAGCGGTTTAAATACTTTAGAAAAAACAAAACCAGTGGTAATTTAATTTTCAGTTGTATTTTATGCGATGAATGAAACAGTTTTGATGAATTCTTCATTGTTTCCTTATGTTTATGAGAAGTTTAGATAACTGTACCCTGAAATCACTTGAAGGTTACTCATATATCTGTTTTTTTTAATGTAAGCTTACGTTGAGACTGCACTGCAGCCTTTCCAGTAGCATTGTCTTCTAAATACACCTGCATCCAGAACTCTTCTTGGCTTCCTTCATGGTATTTCTGTTCTTCTTCTTCTTCTTTCGTTCGCCTGAAATAAGTTGTCTACACGTCCGGCTGTATATTTATATCTAGAGTTGGCCGTGGTTGACTATATCAGCAATTTTGTCTCTTGTATAAATTTCACTGTTGTTGTTAATTCATTCAGTGGTCCATAGAGTTTACGTTCCACTGTTGTTCTTTCTGACCAAAAGGTTTGCCTTAATGTGTCAAATTCGGTGCAGTCCTGGAGTACATGCTCTGCTGTCTGGGGCACCTTTCCACAGGTGCACATGGCTGATACGCCTATCTTGAATTTTGTGTACATGTGGTTACGTAATTGGTTGTGCCCTGTTCTGGGGCGGAGGATAATGACTTGTTCTGATCTGTCTATAATAAAATATTTATGTTTTAAACTGCTGTCTTCGCTGATCACAAGCGGATTTTGAAAAATTCTTGATTATTGTCGCGGCACCCCTTGGCATTAGCGTTTGAGAGCCGCTGCTACAGATATAGAACTTGACTGACTGGACAGGCCTTAGGCATGCATTCATGAAGGTCATTACATCTGACCGTGACTGTCAAAGGTGAAGGGAGCTGATAGGACAGTCAATAGCAGCTGGTGACCCAACAACATGCAGTGCTACAGGACGATAAGATAACGAGGATGATGAGAGGTGGAAATAAAACAGCATCTGGGATCTGCCTGACTCGTCCGTCACCCAATTAAAGTAAAAAGTAAAAGTAAAGATCCCTTTACACGCCCTTAGGCCCATCGGGCATATGGGAAGAGCACCCATATTTTTACAGACCAATCGGCACTCGGTGGGTAATGTGGTCAGCATTACGCCGGCCGTCTTTACTTTCCCAGGACAGCCAATCCTGGTACCTATTTGAGGCTGGGTCGACCTGCGACGTCCCATACCACGATAAAAATCCACGCAGCCGTCACCCAATTACGATTCTTTAATTTCAGGAGGATCTGGTAAACCATTATGTTTAGCCCGTAGAGACAAACCGAACGATTTAAAGGTAAAGGTGAAGGTGATAGGATCGACTTCATTGCATCAGGTTTTGTCCCCATATGGCGCAATCTCTTTCCACAGAACAACTGTCTGCCTGCCGTAAGCGTCGCACAGAGCACGACCTTCGTAGCTTCAGCGACGATCCTCAGGAATCTCCATACAATTGCATCCGTCAACTGAATGGCAAAACCGTGAAACGAACCCACGACCTTCAGAGTGCGAGGCAAACAGCTTTACCACTTCACTAAAGGAGCCGCCCCCTCCCCTCCCCCTCCCCTCCCCCTTTTTTCCCGTTTAAAAAAAATAGAACTATCGACATGTAATTGGAGACAGCTTTGTTTTGTAGAATACAAATAGAACAAGAGAACAAAGATAAATATTTACTTACTGAAATA